TCATTTTATATAAAAATATTTTCTTTCAGGGTATTTTCTATTTTGCTTGTGGTAGACAGAATCTTAGACTAATAAGGTAATACTCAACAAAGCTCCCTCTAGGCTTTGTTTCGGAAATATTTACCGATGAATGTTGTTATTAGGCCCATAAGATTCTAGTCCATGAAAAATAGCTTTACTATATCAAGAGAGTGTTGTTACAAAATCCTCTTCAAACAATCACAATAACAGCAAGAGGAAAGAGAAAACAAGTAATACAACAAGAAAATGGAGAACAAATGAGAATGAAACAGGCACAGGTTCAGACAATGAAACATATTACAGCGTCCACTTGAAGACACTTTATGAGCCTTAGCGGATTTCTGCCATAGCTTTCCAAGGCAAAGAACAGAGGCACTGAAGAAACAAAGATTCGTCTTATTATTTAGAAATGAATCAAATCAAAATAAATGAAATGCAAATCAACACAGTTTAATTTGTGCTTCATAATCACTACCTTTTCTTTTGATGAACGTCTTTTTTTCTTGTTCACATTCTCTATCTCTAACTGCTCCTTGCATTTTAGAGAGCGAAGCATATAATCTTGTTCCCGTCTGCTTCAAGACATGAATCAAAACGAAACAAACGAACTGCTACATCCATTCTTGTAAACGTTTTCCTGGTAGTGGAACGAGCAGTATGATGAAATATGTCAGAAACAAGAATGAAACAAAATAAGTTAGAACAAAGCAACCTGAAGAAAATGTAATCAGTGTAAAGAAAACAGAGAATTTGGAGGACAAGGACTTACTAGCTTTGATGAACACTGAAATATACTGAATTCCAGCTCCAATCATTCTGTTTTCATTGCATTCCCCATCTCCTCCTAGATATTAGCAGAGTAAGAAAATTAGATTGCCTATAATTAGTTCAAGGAACATAGTTGAACAAAACTGAATTGAACAAAGAAAAACACAAAAGAAGAAAAAAAAAAAAGAAGAAACAAAAAATCATACTCAAAATCTAAAAGTTGGTTTATAGAGAAAAGAAAGCATACCTCAAAAATGAAAGCTTTTGATATTTAGTCTTGCTAGTCTTCTACTCCTTTAGAGATTTACAGTTGGCTAATCTAAGCATTTGATTATGCATCAGTTCGCAATTAGACCATGGCTACTCAAAGAATTATGAAAATAACAAAGGACCTATTGGTAAAAAAGCATAGCTATCGAATTGGAATGAAAATAAAAATGAACAGAAGGATTGCAGAAAGGAATTCAGGAACTGACTAGCTTTAGAGGAACCCTGAGGCCTGAGCAGATGCGCATAAATATTTAGATCAAGCTACCGAAATCTGCATGAATCACCGAAATTTGGTCAAAGACTACAACTTGATTGTTTGAATAACATAATATGTTTTAGAGGGGAGGACGTGTTTTTTTTTTCCAAAGTAAAAGATTAAAAAGAAATGCTTTACGGTCGTTAAATTTCTGATTAGCGTAATACTTAAATGACGTGGAATGAAGGGATTAGGGTTCCAAAAATTAAACATACCATTGGACGATGTGTATTGCAGGTGGTCATAGATTTCGATATTGGGAATGTGGGAGATCTTGGACCATTCGGGGCCCCTCTTTTTGGCGCATCTTTTCTTCAATTTTGGACAGTGCGAAATGTGAAGACGTTGTAAGTTGGAGAGGCCTCGCATGGCTTCAATAGAAGGCAGATTAGTCAAATTAGAGCAATCCCAAATCTGCAGCTGATGAAGAGAAGAGAAGTCTCTCAACCACTCTGGCAAAGCTTCCAGGCCATTGAAGTCTCCAAACATTAAGTCCTTGAGGCCAATGAGATGTCGAAGCTGATGTGGCAGAGACTTTAGTTTTTTCCATCCGAACAACATCAATACTTCAAGCGAGGGGTGGAATTGATGAATGGAGGTCAATCCTGGGAACTCCTCCAACTCCGACCAAAAAGGACCAAGCCATAACATCTTCAAGCGGGTCAGGCTATCTAGCCACTCCTCTGGAAAGCCCCTTAGATTTTCGCAATGTGTTATTCTAAGAATACTGAGAGAACGCAATTTCTTGATATCGTCAGAAATGGAAATTAAATTAGGGCAAAATTCAATTATCAACTTCTGAAATGAAATGCATGAGTCCAGCCCAATTGGAAGACACGTTAATCCATCCTGATGAGAAAGATAGAGGCCTTCAAGAGATGTGAGCCCATTCATGCTTGGAATGGAGTTCAGATTATGGCAACTTTCAATTCGCAAGAACTGAAGAGAGATGCAGGATCCAAGCCCAATTGGTAGACTTGTTAATCCATTATTGTCCTCGAGCTCTAACCTTGTAAGAGTTGAGAGCCCATCTAAACTAGGGATAGCCATCAGTTTCTGACACCACCTTATCCTCAGCCTAGAGAGCTTATGATGAGATGAAAATCCGCCCATCGACCAAGTCTCCAACAAAGGACAATCAGAAATCCCCACATCCTCAAGGCAAGGAAACACGATCACACCTTGGTTCCCTACAGCTGCATCCTCAACAACTTCAACCCATTCTTCTAGCCTTTCCATGTCATCTACAGTGAGTGTTTTCAAAGCTGGGAACAATCTGATTGATTCTGCTCCGCCAGGCTGAAGCGTGTGACCCATTCTTCTAACATTATGCATTCTTTCAATGCGAAGAACTTTGAGAGAAGGCAATAGTCCCAAACTCGAAATACACGTGCACTCATTGCAATCACTTAAGTTCAACTCCACCATGTTGTCAAGAAGGAATGATGAACCAGAATTATTGACATCATTCCCCATCCAAGATGGGAACATCTTTCCTTTGTAACCATTAATAGTGAGGCTTTTCAAATTTGAATGAGGTTGAAGGCTTTCTAGAACCTCTTCATCGTTGTTGTTGTCGACTGCTCTTTCATTCCCACTACTCCAGCATAATTTCAATTGATGCAATTTTGTCCTTTCTCTCAGATTTGCTTTAGAAGCTTCCAATTTGGATCTTACATGTTCAAGCTTCCAAATCTCTAGTTTTCCTCCAAGTTGGCTTAAGCATCCAAGGTCTTCAATCTGGCATCCCTTTTTTGTGCCCACAACAAAGTGTGACAATGTTCGAAGGGACGTTAACTGCATGGTAGATATATCATGTGGATCACTAGAATAGATATGCCTCAAGCTGATGAGATCTGCCATGCCACTGGGAAGCTTTTCAAGATAATAGCAATCAACAAATTTTGAAGTCTGCAAATTATAGAGCTTGGAGAAGGATTTTGGTACTGTACTGACAGAAGCTTCTGAGATGTCAAAGTACCTCAAATGTTTCAATTTGCCAAGAGAAGCTGGCAACTGTTTCCGACCTCCCTCTAATTTCAAGGATCGCAAGCTTTTGAGATCTGATGCCATGCTACAAAAAACATCAACATTTGAAAACAAAGAATGCAGCCTTTGAGCAACACTTCTTGGAATGGTTAGAAGACCAGTTACCTTGGACTTGACTCTCAAATGTCGAATAGTACTACAATTCTGAACATCAAAATTGCAACTAGTGTCCCAAACCAAGGTCTTACCTTTTGAAACAAGCAATGAAAGATCATGCACTAGATCATGCATTTTGCAAGATTCAATATTCCCATACAAATCCCATCCAATATTTTGGAATAAAGAATTAGATAACAACTCCTGGAAATACTCATTACCAATATCCTCCATTTCCACAAGGCTTTCATTAGATTTGTGAACAAACCCCTGAGCCACCCAAAGTTGAATTAAATCATCTATGAAAATGACAGCATCCTTTGGAAAAATTGAACA